AAGCCAACACTTTAAAATTTATTAATTAAAATCTATTTTTCCTCCTTCAGGGGCCTTGAGGATACCCCAGCAAGACTACCAGTCCAACCAAAGAAGCCAACACGGTCTTCCAGGCAGATCTCGAGACCCCTTCCTCTCATCTAAGATCAGATAGGGCGAGAGTTCCATGAATCCCCAATATGTAGGGACAGCTCTACACCCCTGCCCAGCAGGAAGCAGACACAGAAGAAAAGCCCTGTCCTTCAACTTCCCATAGAGATTTTTATGGGGATCACGTCTCTCAAGGGGAAAATGGGCAGGCAGTTAGAGGCAGGCATTAGGGTCTCTGCACTCTTGCACATCCAACACAACCCATAGAATGCGACAGCCCAAAACCTCCCCTACTCACTATAATTATCTACCCCTATGAGGAAACAAATGGGTACGAAATACCCAACTAGATTAGACCGGTCACTCACACCTACACAGTCAAGGCCAGAAGACCTTCATTTCACCTGGGCCTCATTATACCATCATTATATCAAACATATGCCTGGAAGTTCATTAATATCATAACAACAGACTGAATTCTGGGAAGGAACATGCGCAGTCTAAAGAGATGAGGTAATAGCCTGTTGTCAATCACAGGTGTCAATCAAGTGGTCCCATGCCCAGAGAGGAACAGCCCATTCTGGAGAAAAAAAATGAATGAAAACCCCAAGTCCTCACCAACCAGCACCTTTTGAGCCATGCTTTTGCTCAGGCCTGCGCCTATCTCTTTGGAGTGTACTTTTCCTTCTAATAAACTACTCTTTCACTACTTTACCTCTGTATCGTGTTCAATTCTTTGCTCGAGATGCCAAGAACCTGGACACCGCACCAAGGAGGGCCCAACGCCCAGCGACATAGCAACTAGGATGCCCAGTTTTCCTCCTCAAGGCCTGGGTTCAACCCCCGGTGTGAGAGCCAAGCCCAAGCATTGCGCCAAGAAGTGTTCCCCCCTCCAGTAACATAAACATTAGTAAAACTGAATTACCGTATTTAAAAAACATTGCTACTAAGTTGTAGATGTGTATTTTCCATTGTGCATGTATACTTAACACACAATTAAACAAAAGCTTACAGCTGGAAATAAAGAATTTCCTTTAACAGTTACTTAACTCACTGGAATATCTTTTTGCTCTTTCAAACTGGAGAGGGAGGAACCAAGGCAAGAAAATTCAACACTCATTCATGTAATAACAGCTTATCAAGAGCCTTGGTTCTGTGCTGGTCACAGAGGATGCAAAGGTGAGCAAACACACAGACTCCTGGGGCTGACCCATCCTGACGGACACAGCCACCAGCTGTAGAAACAAACCGAAAATGGCAGTCAGGACCCTATAACAGCGGTTCTCAACCTTCCTAATGCCACGACCCCTTAATCCAGTTCCTCATGTTGTGGTGACCCCCAACCATAAATTTATTTTCATTGCTACTCTATAACCGTAATTTTGCTACTGTTACGAATCGTAATGTAAATATCTTTGTATTTTCTGATGGTCCTAGGCGACCCCTGTGAAAGGGTCGTTCGATCCCCAAAGGGGTCGCGACCCACAGGTTGAGAACCACTGCCCTATAACAAGGGTTAGGGAAGTCAGGAATGTTTTCCAGAGGAAGTAATGCTTTGAGCTGAGACATATGTAAAAAGAAGATACTGGGATTCGAGGACAGAGAGCAAACAGCATTCCAGAAAAGGAACAGCATATGCAAAGTCAACGACAAAGTGTTAGGAGGGCAAAGTAAAACCATCATTTTCAGATGGTCAATATACAAACGGTGCAGTAGAACACTTGACAAAATTTTTATGCTTTCTAATGTATTCCTTCTTTACTGAGAAATTGGTTTACCTTTCTACTGTCATAGAATTTTCTTTGACTATACAAAACCAGTCCAGATATTGCATTTATTAAGAAACTGTAAAAAAATATCACTGTTACACAAAATTGAATGGTTAGCATTTTCCACACTATTTTTAAAAAGAATATCAAAACCAACTTTAATCCTAAGGTTCTTTAGAAAGGTATTTCTGATATTTCTATTCTTTTCTTCAGATAAAGAGATTTTTGCTCAGGAGAGAGTACAAAGTATGCTTTCTAAACTGTTCTTACTAATATTTATCATAGAACAGTTCTGAGCAATTTCTAGCAGTATTTCAACATTCCACATCCACTGAATTGTACCAGACAAGCAGTATAACACAAATGCATAACTTTAGACATTGGAGCTGGAAAGAGTTGCGTTTTTTTAAAGGCACCAGTGACTCCTAAAATTGTGTTATAATGATTATTCCTAAAACTATGTAAGCACAAAAGGACCCAAATTAGTTACCAAAGGTTAACTTTGACATGGATATTACAGCTAAATTATATGGCTATGAATCGATTAACTTCCATTAACAATTTTATGTCCCTTTTTATATATTGTGGGTAAAAAAAATTTTCTTTCCCAAGATTTAATAAATAAACATGTACTCTAAATTCACCATATGACTGTGTCAAAATACAACCTGCTGAGGCTTCTAACAGAAGACTTTACGCACTCATATTAGCCTTTCCCTGTATTTGTTAAATGAGACTGTACTCAATTTAGTGACATGCACTCAAAACTGAATTCAACTTTCTACTGGGTAGGGATTAAGATCAAAGAACAGATAATCCCTTTAAAATATGCAGTTACTGATTAACTCTCTTTGGCAGTAAAGAATTGAGTTTTCTTCTACAAGATAATTTCTACTGAGTATACCAGAGGCGTTTTTTAAAAATAATGATAGTTCAAAGATAACTGTATCTTCAAGAAAACATGTAAGAACAATATATAAGAAAATCATACATAAGAGAACAGGAGCCATTCTCTGGTAAATTCAAAGGGGAACCTAACACTACCTAACGTGTCCAGATACTGCATTTATTTGTCATCACTTAATGCTTCTAGCAAGAGCCTGTGTACTGAATGAGTCTTAAAATTTTATTTAAAAGTTAGATGTTATTAGTTACTAAAAGTACATGCTCCTCACCTACCCTTCTAAAGAAAGGGAAGAGAAAAACCCAAACCACTAGATGTTGGAGGGGAAACAGCAAGTACAACTTTCTCTGGGAACAAGACAGAATCACCATGAAGTAGGAAAACCAGAACACTGAGGATGGGTCCTCTTTTAATAAATGCTTCTTTGCTCTTCCTTTTTTAAAAAAATGGAAGTAGTCTGTCACTATACAAACAAGGAAATGAGTCCCATGGGGAACAGTGATTAGAAAGGTAAAAGAAACTAAGAGCCAGAGTTACTGGAATTTGCCTTTATAGAGCAGTGTAGATTAATCAAGTAGGAAGTGCTGACACATGCTTCAAGGCGTGTGTTTAGTGAGGACACGTGCAATTCAAATTTAGTACAAGAACTGTCCTTTTCATTTTTATGGAGAAACTAAGCTCAGGTGCAACTATTAAATAAATGTTTCATCATGCATAACCCACACCAGTTGCTAAGCCTGGACCCACCTAAGGGACAGTACCGGTAACGTGCATTAGATCAGAGTGTGCAATACCACAGCACTGACCACCACTGAATAGATAACTACCACAAACAGCTTTTAAGGTTGCAAGATGAGTGTCAAATAAGACCGTGTAACTGGTAATTTCTGGAATGTTTGGCAACAAACCTCAAAATCAAATTTCCTGAGACATCCTTGGCTTGAGTTCAGTTTTGTTTTTTACAAGATCAACACAAAATTATATATGCTAAAAAGGCAGCAAGTTCTATCACATTTTATGAAACCAAGGAAGAGTATAGCCAATAATCTATTAACGAGAAGGTAACTATTTCAGTAACAGCTGGCAACAGGTTCCCTGGAGAAGAAAACCCATTTAAAAAAAAATAAACGAACACTGCACCCAGATAAATTTAAAGCACAAAATTTAACAGACTGAAATGATATCAGACAATGTGACCTTTTAAAGGAATTTCACATTTCTTATCACTTTCTTAAGTCTCTCTCTACCAAAAAACAAAAACCCAACAACAAAAATGTAAGGCTTTCAACAACCCCAAAAAACCTCACAGATTTCAAACATGAATATGGAAGAGAGTGCTGATCTTTACAAAAGTGACAGTCCAAAAAACACAGGACTACCTCCTGAAGGGGGTCTCCCACCTCAAGGCTTCATTCAATGGTCCTGGCTTTCCCAACTAACATCAAGAACTAAGGAAAACGCCCCAGGAAAGGGAGCGGGGAAGGGTGACGCCAGCAGCAAAGGGTGACCTCTAATTCTACGAAAATTACCCCAAAATAAACCAAGCACTACTCCTGGCCCATTACCAAGCACAAGTCAAAGTTCCACCACGTAAGTCGGGCCTGGGCCTTTTTCGAGCAAACGCGTTATTGAAAACAGTCATTTCCCTCTTTGCATTTTGTTCACGCTGGAAATACCACCATTCAAACTGAAAAGGTAGCAAAACAAAAGAAAAAAAAATAAGTGAGAAAGGAAGTGGAAGCGCGGGGCGTTTAATTTGCGTTTACCCTCCCCCGGAGCTCTCGCTCGCCGGCCTGAATTTAAAACGCCGGGTCCTCTCCGGCGGGGGTCGGGGCCCCCCAAAACGGCTGGGGGCCCGCCATCCGGCGGAGGAAGGGGACGCTCCGCTCCGCAGCGGCCGGATGTGCGGGGCGCTGGGGAGCGGGCAGCACTCAGGACAGTATCAGGGTCTCCCGGTGGCCGGGGCGACTCCTCGGAGAGAGCGGGCGGCTGCGGGAACTTTCCCTTCCTCCGGCCGCAGCCCACGTTCACGGGCAAACTTTGCAGGCGGCGCCGCTCACGTCCGGGGTCCCGCCCCGCGACCCTCCCTCGCCTCCAGCCGGGCCCCCGAGCCCCGAGCCCCGCGGGACCCGAGCCGGCCCCTCAGCTTCGCTCGCGTCCCCGCCGCCCGCGTGCCCGGTCCGGCCCCTCCTCGGCCCGCCGCGGGGCCGCCAGGGCCTGCGCTGCGCGCCCCTCACCTTGGTGGCCATGGCGGGCGGATCCCCGGCCCGGGACGGCCGGCTCCTCTCCCGCGCCGCGCAGTCGGCCCGCGGCGGGCAGGCGAGCGTGAAGGCGGCTACGACTGGGCCGCGGCGCGGCGGCGGCGGCGACAGCTCCGCCTCGGCCCCGAGTCTGGGCTCCGGGTGACTCCGGCCGCCGCCCGCTCCTCCAGTTCCTGAAACTCCCCGACTGCGCGGCCCCCGCCCCTGCCGGCGAGCCTCCCATTTACCGCGGCGGCGCGGCGCGGCCGGCGGAAGCGCGCCCGGTGCCCGCGGCCCGCCCGGCCTCCTCGCCCCCTTTCCGCCCCCGCCCGGAGCCTCCGCCCCGGGGCCGCGCCGCCGGCGGGCGCCCTTTGTTCCGCCGCCGAGGGACGCGTCCCCGAGTCGCTGCCGGGGTCGCCGAGCCCGCCTGACGGCCCGCGGAAACGTTAGGGGCAGCGCGGCCGCCTCGGGGGGAGCCGAGTGCCGACTGGCTCCGCACGCCCGCGCCGCACGCAGCGGCTCGAGTTCGGCTGCGCGAGGCACGAGGCTGCGACGACAAGTCTGCGTCCCCCTGGCCGGGCGCGGGTGGCCGACGGGGATCTTGGTCCCGGAGCGGGACCGCCGTTCGGCCGATTGTGCTCTGCGCTGAGTAAAACGAGCGCTGAATCAACAGCCGGGACCGAGCGGAGCAATGGCTCCCTGGTCCGACCGGCCCTTCCAGGAGGCTCTGCCCCAAGCCTGGGGTTACCGCCGGCTGGGACCCCCCCCCCCGGGGCTTCTGGGCCCCGACGCTTGGGGAGTTCCTTCCGAGGTGTCCCATTAACCTTCTGCGCTCTGGATACATTTTAAGACGACGCAGAGCCCCAGAGGTTTGGGGGAAACAGAGCGTATTTCCTGAAAGTGGAAATGAGAGGTCGAAAATTTTCCATGTTTTTTGTCAACGTGGTTTTCTTCAGGGTTGGACCTACGGGTTTTATTCATCAATGAATGACTTAAATTGAGAAGGAACAGTTTTCACTGAAGTACAAAAAACATACCTGGAAGATAGATCTTAGTGGGTATGTCAGTCTAGTACATTTTGTTTTTTTTATTATCAGGGACATACGTGTTAAAAGAGGCAACTATCAAATCAAGTCAACTTTATCAGGCTAGAAACGCAGTATTTAGAGTTAATGTCAAATTTTGTGTCCTCTGGAAAATCTGACCTCCAAAGATTTCACAAGTTCCATTCAACAACGGAGTCGAAAATGGATATGGTGTTACAGAATTTTCTGTAATTTTTTGTTCGCTCAGTTCATGGCTAAAGCTATAGTCATAATATTCATAAATAGTCGAAGTAAAAGGAAAGCTGGAGATGAACATTCTTTGACGGTCTAATTACATACTAAACTTTCACATGCCTTAATCTCATTTAACCCTCATAAGAAACCTTTGAGAAAGTCATTATTATTTGCTGTTTACAGACATGAAGAAATCAAGTCTCACGTAAATAACTTGGCTGATTTGGTAATACTTATCAAAATTGAAAATTCCCGTAACCTTGGGCCTAGCAGCTCTACTTCTAGGACTGTGTCGTGCTGTCAGATTTGCACACGTGAATAAAGATGTTCAGTAAAGTATTCTAACCCCAAACAGAAGCAACCTATATGTTTGTTAATAGGACTGTTTCAATATAGTATATCAGGCAAATGAAATTCTGGGAAGCCCATAAGAAAATGGTAATATTTTAAAAGGACATTAATAAAGATGAAAATAACATTAAAGCACTATCGATTTGTGTAAAAAAATATGAAAATACCTTGTATATATCTAGAAAATTCCTGAAGATTCATTAGATGCCATTGTCAATTTTTGAAAATGTGTTTATTCCTTTATTTTTAAAATGTTTACGTTTTAATAAACAACTAAATAAATATTTGGACTAAGAACACATACTAACTAGTATGTGGAAAAGCCAGGAATTCAACATGGGAAATACTATAAGTAATGAATTTTCCATATTCTTTTAAATTTGAAAGCTGGGTTCAGCTCCCTGCAGCAATTCAACAGTGCATGTTTCGTTAGGGAGCTACACATTCAGGGTCGTTCCTGTGACCTGTGCTTTCGGCGTGCTCAGTTGACACGGCCTGGGTCGGGTGCTGGTGGGCCGGTTGTGCTGTGCTCTGGCCTGAGTAAAATGAGTGCTGAAAAAAACAGCCAGAACCGAGCAGAGCAATGGCTCCCTGGTTCGACTGGACCTTCCAAGGGGTTCTGCCTCCAGCCTGGGGATACTGCCAATCATCCTGGACCCCTGATACCAAGAAAGCAAAAAGACCCGAGTCCAAGCTTTTCCTATTTGAACAATTTCTGTAATCTTGTTTTCATTTTTAGAGGTAACCATGGAGACACCAAACTCATGGTGACCAATGCAAATCAATATAAACATTAAGTGAAAGCGAAATCACTACCTGTATTATTGAGATAGTAAAAACGCCATGACATTTTTTTATAGTCCAGCAGTGCATCGCTAATGTAATCCTCAGGTGAGGCTGATGTCCAGCTCCATCTAATACCACCCTCCCGGCGCCATACCGGCCTTTTCACTTCCTCCCCACCCCCGAGCATCATACTCTGTTCCATGGAGAGTACCAGGACTAGCTTCTCAGGTGTGTGACTTGTGCAGGGCCCAGTGCTTAGATGGACCCCACACTTGCTTTAAAGCTTCCCTCTCACCAGCTTTAAATTCTTAATAATTTTGAACAAGAGACCTCACATTTTCATTTCATTTCACTGCAAATTACATTGCTTATGTTGTTTCTTTGTCTGAATTACCCCCCATCCACCAACCATTCACGTCTCCCCACCACCCTGCACACCGGCTAACCTCCCACTCATCCTTCAGAGCTACCCTGGAGTGTCACAGCTGTCAGTATTCCTCAGGGAAATCTTCCCTGCCCCCGGTCTCCGGTCTCCGTCAAGTTCTCTTCATAGAAGCTCTCCTAGTACTGGTTTCCTTGCCTTTGGAAATTGATCTGTTTGTAATTCATTGGAGTCACCACTTGCCTGCCTCCCCGTCAGACAGTAAGTTAAGGAGCGGAGGCTCTGCGCCTGTGTCTCCCACCTGCCCCTAGCACCAAAGGGGACCAAAGTTTTGCTACCCCCAAAATGTGCCTCAGGATATTGATTTTAAGTTGGTTCTTAAGAAACGAAAGCCCCAGAGAGAACCTTTGACCCAGCCCTTTCCTGTCTAAGAGATTCAGATGGAAAGGCCTTCTCCAGGAAGGGAATCAACATATTCACCTTAATATGGCACATGGAAAGGCTCGAAGCAGGGGCCTGCCTGTTACCTGGACTCCCGCACCTGGTGTCTCCTTGTTTCAGGGTTGGCTAGCAGGGATTTGCCTGTCACCTGTGGTCCCCTCTTCCTCAGCTGCCTGTAAATTGCCTCTTTTCTCTGAAATCCCAGATCCCTGCTTCCCTCTATTTGTCCCTAACAGCATATAAGCCTCAACTGCCCAGTGCTCCCTGGTCCAACCAGACCTTCCAGGGTAGTTAAAAGACTTACCCAGGATGCACATTAGGCCAGGGCAGGGACGAGAGCTCACTTCTCTCATCACAGGTTTCCAAAACATGTCATTTTTGACCTAAAAATATTTTAGGTAAGAGGTGTGAAGGGAGTATTGTGAAGGTCAAGACAGTCCCTGTAACAGGGTGAAATGCTCCGTCTCTGCCCCCATCTTTCTCCAGCCTGCATAGTTCCCATGGCCTTCAGGCTCATAGTTCCTGCTAGAGACATGCTAATCAGAGGAATTCTCCTTGGGGCTTGAGTTTAAAAGAACAGCCCCTTGCCGGAAGGTGCCTCTCCCAAGTAGGTGGGGGAAATGTGTACAAAAATGATGATAGTTTATCAAAGATTTGCAGGAGCCTTCAGACGGGACTCAGATCAGCCAGGGTCAACAGACTGGGAACAAAGAGATTTGGAGATTTCTCCGTCTTTCCTCAGCCCCTGCTGGTGCCCAGATGTCAGTAGTCGTCAATCACCTTCTGCCCCTCCCATTTTCCCTTTCCTGGACTTAAAAGAAGCCTGAACTCTGTACTTTCTTAAGATGGATTTGAGGACTAGAACCCCCATCTTCTCAAATGGCACCTTCTGGATCAATAAACCTTTCTTTACTCCAAACACTTATGTTAGGAGTTTTGGCTTTTTGAAGAGTCAAACCCGTCAAGGACTCCTGTCCTGAACTGTGCTAGGAGCCACCCACACTAGAACAGAAGCATGACATCCTTTCATCTTATTTCAAAAAGTCCAGCCGCCCAGTGGAACAGTGGCTTCTCCAAAACTAGGAAGTTGACTTCACTCAGGATAATCTTGAAAAGCCCTGGGCTAAATTGAGAAGTAGGTGGTTTTGTCTTCTGATGCCATTTGCTCGCCCAGTCACACCTCTTTCTTTCCTCCCATCCACCTCCTTCCTTTGACAGGTTTCCAAGGTGGTGCCTTACGTGGGCTGTCCTCAGAGCCCAGAGGTTGGCACACATCAAGTTCAGTTCTTTGCTCTACAGCCTGAGTTTCCATTACTCCCAGTGGTGAGAACACAATTGATTAGCTAAGGAATTTGATTTGCATTTGCAGACTGCATTTGGCTGTAGCGAGATTGCACTTTTAAAAGAAAAAAAGCTGTAGCCAGAGCAACAGAGTTGTTCTGTTTAAGCTTTGCACTCTTTTTATCATGCCAGGGAGAGAGGGTGACAAGGATTCCTAGGAAGCCTGTGCTAATGGCACAGCTGGTGGCCAGAAGAATGGCCATTAACTCTTTTTTTTTTTTTTTTTTTTTTTTTAGCTGAGCCATCCCGCCACCTGTTGGCAGCTCACGGCTGCTCAGCTCGGGCTGACTTGAACCGCTGTTGCTCAGAGCTCAAACTCTTGAGCGAGCTCTTAACCAACTGAGCCACTCAGCATGGCCATTAACTCTTGCCCGAGGTTTGTTCAGTAAATTAGGCTTCACGACTATACACTTGTGAAGTTAAAGCACTGTTATTTTAACTGCAGAAATTAATAACTTCGTCATTGTAACTCAGAAACTCTCTAGCCCCAAACACATTTTTTTCACATTGAAGTGATAGTTTTTAAAATTTGTCATTGAAAACCTTAAGTTTCTTAGATAAAGCTATAATGGTTCAGCAAAACACAAATATAGTCCTCATCCCAATTCCCATCTTTTTCCATCCTTTCTTCCTCAGGAGCAAAGATTTTCCTGTTGACAGAGCT